TCGCCCAAGTCATCCGGCGAGCCCTGTTAAGCAGGCCCCATATTCCTCTATCCCTTGACAAATAAAACCAGCGAGTAAAGAAATGAGTCAGCCCATGTGAGCCATAAGGTCACGCACCCCAGGAGTGGAACTCTTCAACATTCTGACTTCGGAATTTCTGTAAAAGCGACCGTTTCCCCCATCACCTAATGAAAAACGACTGCAATGCTGCCCCTGCAGAGGTGTGAATTATTGTGAAGTCAGGTTCTCCCAGGCTAGTCTGCCAGTATTTCTCCATAGCTGTGACAACAACACAAACACAGAGTGCTTCCCAACTCATAAATATGACTTATTTCCTGGTGCGCTACCCGGTGCAACTTCGATGCCGCGCAGGTGTGAAGTCCGCTCTGCCAGTCGCGCTGAGCAGAATCGAGGGCGATTATCATGTGACCGTATTACACGAGTTTGGCGAGAAAACAGGTAGATGTTTAAACAGGTACTGAAGAGCTGGACTGCTGGCATGTGCCCGGCAACACGTGGTTCAGTAGTTGCGATTTTTACCTCCAGGGTCCTCCCCAGAGGTGAGCCCGTATAGGCAAGCTGCCATGGTAACCCTGCATACATCACAACGAAACGTCCTTTGAACTTCACTGGGAATCAGGGCCTGCAAACCTTATCTTTTCCAGGGCCCAGGAAGAGCTGGGACCTGCCTTGAGATCACCCATACCCTCGTTCCATATGAGTGAACATCAGGTACTCATAGCCAACTCGGTAGGAGCAACTGTACTGCGATGCGGGTCGTTTTAGGGTCAGGGTGTTTAAAAGTGCTGGCCCTTATTTATAAGGGCGCAGTTCTGATTATACAAGTCAGTTCATGACCATCAGAGACAACTTCATATGAACAGAACCTCACTCTAGCCCCCCCCTCCCCCCCCGTTTCTAAGAGCTAAACACCAGCAGAAATGAAGAGCAGTAACTAAGATATGTTTTGTAGCAACATGAAAAGCACTGTTGATGTCAAAGCAGATATGATTCATAACACACAAACCCTTATGCTCGAATTAAAATGAACAGCCCCGGGCACAAGCAAAGCCTATCTAATCACCACCTGCGAGCTCGATTTTAGGTGGGGTGGTGTCCATATTTGTAAAGCATCTGCAACCGAAGGTAAACAATCAAAACGAATGGAAATTTGCAGGCTCCTCCTTGCATTTTAATTAATTCTTTTGCCAAGCTCCGCTGCCTCTTGCCAAGGCCTGTGTTTGTATCGCTCAATGAGGAATTATCCGCCGCCTAATCTGTCCTTAGGCTGGGAGGCGAGGAATCAGCTTTGTGCCCGTGACAGTCTGCCCCCTTGGAGTGGATGGACCCCATGCCAGAAAATCCACCCGGCGTGCCACACGGCCCCAACTAAAGACCAGCCAGGATTCATACTCCTCTTAATATCCTGATTTAGTTATAAAAAAAATTTGTGGCTCAATGCGCACAAGCAGTATTTTCGCTGCGATGCAGGAGTATAAGGAAGCATTTCTGCAGCTCATATAGAAAGGTGAGGGGAGTATTCATTTCCCTGAGAGGAACAGAACGTCTCACAGGAGTGATTTCAGGGAATAATAGACGTGGGCTTTGCTGAAGATCACATGGCTGCAATATATTTCAGGCCTTCTGGCTTAACACACGGTATAAACAGGGATTACTTCTGATCTGAAAAAGGCTATTTTAATCAAGATCATACCTGTAATTTTCTTCATTCTTAAATCAAGAAAATAATGTTGCTTTCCTCTGTAGTTTTTGTGTATTTTCTGTGTAAATCAATTTCTTACAATGGGTTTAAACCCTTACGTAAATTCAGATGCACAGTTATTAAAAAAAAAAAAAAAGTCTGTCAAGAATCAAAACAAAAACATTTTAATCGTCAAAACCGAACAGAGGTGGATACACTACGAGGATCTTAATCCTGATCTGTGCTGCCCAAAGATACAGACAAGGGCTCAATTAGACTTTAAATCCAGCCTCTTTCGTAAGATTGCCCGTCAAGCCCAGAGCTCATCACACTGCCCAGCCCCGTTATCGCGTTCAGCCCCAGAAGATCAGACGACAGGCGGGGGGGAGATTAAAACGTGCGGGCCGACGCGAGGTGTCAGGGCCCGCTCGATCTCTTAGCCCAGATAAGCAGACCCTCGACACACGACTCCCCCGCAGGCTCACAGGTCACATGGTCTGTGTGGGCCAGCAGCCATTGGTCGTTCAGGAGGGGAAATTCAGGGAAGAGAAAAATCAAGCTGCTCTAACAACTTGCATGACACCTTAAAGCAGTCAAAATAATTGAGACCGGGTCCTAACTCTGGTGGTTTGTATTTTATTAGAGTCCCACCACACGGAATCCATGGAACCGACGGAAAGTATGTATGGAACCCATGGAGTTTTAGTAAAATACAGGCCGAATCTCCCTTATTTTTAGGAGGGAACACAAGCGGAACGAAGAAGCCCTGGATATTAGCTGACCCAGCCTCTGGATCCGTGCTGTTTCGGTCCAGTTCATAGAAAGACTGGTGCTGAGGAAAGGATGGCAAACGTCGCATTACTTTTTCAAGACTGACTGAGAAACACAACCACAGTGCAATTAATCTGCTTCAATTATTCCCAAGGCGCTACTGGCTTGCTCCTTTTCATTCACATCTTCACTTGAAAGCACAGAATCCCTGCCTGTTGACGGAGAGGATCCCCTCAACCTCATTTCACGGTTATAATATAATAAATTCATAATGCATGACACAGCGGGATGAGAAGAGGCCTGGGAGAAAAGCAAAAGCCCACAGCAGGTTGAGGACTGAGATGGAAGGCTGCAATTCATCTTTACTAAGTGACATATTGTTAGCAGTTAAAAAAAAAAATCCTAAATGAATGTTCGCATCAACACTGCTGAGATTAATACTGTTATATTGACTGTACATGATATGTTCAGAGTTAAAAATAGCACATAAAAAAGCACCCGGGATCATCTACTCATCTCTAACGAGATCTACTGGCAATTAAGATGAAAAAGCAGTGATAGACAGATGCCATAGGATTGTAGACCTTGGAAAATGCAGTTCTACTGATAATTCAGTGTGCATGACATGGCCTGTGAGGGGGACCGTGACAGCCTCATCGCCGGGCGCTGACCTACAGTACGTTTAACGGCCTTTCCATAAAGCGCTCGCTACATTAAACCCACCTCCTGTGGCCTAGGTCTTTCCCCCCAGCAGGAACAGGGTCTGGTCAAAGCGGCTGTTTCTGCGAGGAGGTTGGGGTTTGCCCAAGAAGGACCCAATAAACATGTCCGCTGAAGAGCCAAACATGCTTCTCTGATTTGAATATCCATCTGGAATATGTTCAGCACCCTCTTAAAAAGTCAACAAATCAATAAAACGACGAAAAAGCACGCTCGCTTCGGAGACGCAGAGCCAGCTCGCCGGCCTTCGTTCCACTCACTTGGAAACACGATTAGAGTTATTACCTTTTATTGACGGACCCTAATTAAGGCAGGCGACATAATTTATGACCTGCGGTTCTCCAAGACAGCACTTATACATCGGACAGACTTGAGCAATCCACCACGGCTTCGGCTGGCAGCTCGCTATGCTTCCCGTCTGATCCTGTTTTCACCCTCGTCGTCACGGCAGCGTATCACATGACCATCACAAACACAGCCCGGTTTCCCACTTGTACAATATAAAGCATAATGCAAATAGTTACCTTCCTAGAATCTCAATTTATTACCTTTGCTGTTTCTTTAATTGGATTTAGACAACCACAAGGGGAAAAAAATAGTTTTTTTTCTTCCCTTTTTGGGGATGTAATACACTGGTTCTTGCACAACACACTTTCTGAAAGACCGAAGGCTGAAGATTTAGCTAGTGAGAAAAAGACCATATAACTAACAATCGGAAGTAACTCCCGCCACGAAACGTTGAATCTGTTTTCATCATATTGGCAGCTGACGCTTGACAACATACTGTACAGGGGCCTCCGCTGTGTTTGTAGCTCTGTGTTTCAGCAACTGCATGCTACCAAATTAGTGTCTCAGCGACTGAGACGACTGCCGATCCACTGGCAGCTTTGAAGATCGTAAAAATGTGCGTGGCAGCGAAACTGAGATGATCTCAGAGAGAGAAACGCTTCTCCTGACAATCCCATAGGGACTGCGCTGCAGGGTGAACCAAATGAAGACATCCGCGTGGAGCGGGCGGCGGTTTTAGTGTCTTAGGGAGATTGTTTTATGCAACCACAAAGTCTTTTATATATTAGGCTTCACAATACATCTGGGAATTCTGCATACAAATCTAACCTTATAAACCTTATAAAAAAAGACTGCAGCAGAGTATAAGACTTTCGTTTTAAGCTTGGTAGGTCAGCATCATTATAACATACATTGAAACCACAGGGGGAAAAAAAAAACGCAAGATTACGGGCCATTTGGTGGCATTGATTTTCACTCAAAATCTGTAACAGCCCAGCTGATGTGAAAACATTCAAATGTAAGAGGTTATAAAGACAATCAATAAAAAAACAACATACCATCAAAAAATAATAAACAATACTGGGTTGACGATAACTGTTTAATGTAAATATGGGTTTTAGTAATAAATGTGTGAGATTTTTAAGCGCTCGGGAATATTACTCAATAAGCAAAACAAATTCATTTATTTGAGCCAGTAAACTAATTAAAAATATACACGTAAATACTGAATACTTCCAGTAAATAGTCCACATGGATAAAAGCTGGTATAATGTGTCTCTTTGGGGCTAATCTTTTAGCACAGACGCTGTTTAAATTGAACAAATAAATAAATAAATAAATAAAATAAAATAAAATAAATAAATTGAACAAAAAAAAGGAGGCTCTGGTTCCCTCTCATTATTTACGTCCTCTGGAGCTCAGCGGCAGGCTACCAAATGTCCGGCGGGTTCTGCCAATCAGAGGCTCCCGGTGCCACATTTTCATTCACGTCACATAGCCAATCAGTGTAGCAGAACCGAACAGCTGTGAGCGCACTGGCCACGCCAGTCCGAGGGTCCCCCCCCCCTTTCGGCGGGCTCCGTGGCAGGAGGCCGGGGCGCCAAGGAGGATAAGAGAAGCGGCGCGGTGGGAGATGCGGCCGGGTTCGGCAGACAGGTGCGGCGGGGACTGCGATGCTAATGCTAATGCTAATGCGGTGCACAAAAATAATTTTTAAAAGCAGCTGCTAGCCTTAAAGTGACGGGGCGTAATTTGAATTAACTTAACAAAGCCTCACAAGGAAAGAACACTAATACAGCACTATGCCTGTGAATACAGACTGGATTTTGTTATAGGAGGATAGAGTCCTGAGAGAGGGACGCAGAGACACCTGATAGCTAAAGTTAGCCAGGACCTGGACGCCGTTCCGCAGCATAATGTCCCGGTACATACCTATGAGGGGAGGGTCCAGGCTCGTGATTCGTTTTATGGCTATGAAATTAACGACCAACTGGCTCCGGGTGCTGTTTACAGCAGCTTTGGCTGAAGGGCACCGACGATCATCGGATGAGATATACTCGAGCTTAAATTACATGGCGCAGGACCAACTGCAGTGGCGGACATCTCCGGCAAATGCAGATTAAGAGATTTATTGCCAGAATTAGTGAACGATCAAGAGTCAAACAGTTCGTTCAGTTGGCATTAACAGTTTGGTTATGAATGATTGAGAGGGCATGCACCAGACACGTCTGGGAGCAAACGTCGAAGCTATCTGACGGTTGGGCCCAAGATTTTACTTTTAGTTTAATTTTCATTATGGGGGGTGCATGGGATGGAGCAGCAGCATAGCCCACAAAGAAAAAGACCCATCATCTGTGCTTGCATAATGGGTCATAATTATTCTTTTTTTAGCATCTTTGAGTAATTATTGTTGGGGGGCACAGGTGGTCATTTTGCTCCCCCTCCCCCCGGCATTCAGTCTAAGGGGGGCCTGCCTTACTGTATGTGACCCCCAAGAGTGTGACCGACTTATTGACCAGCTCAACGAGAGTCCTGTCATGGGGTACGCTAATTTCCAGCTGCACCCCCCCCAAGGCCCACTCCATTTGGGGGGGTGACGAGCGAGAAGCAGCACGCCGGCAGGCACACGGCCATTCATCACTGTCACACGCGGCCGAGGGGCTGTCCTCATTGGCCGGCCGCGCCTCGATCCGAGAAGCAGCTCGATTTGCACCGCTGATGATAACGATAGCGTTTTTAAAAAAGGGAGGGGGGGCACTTTTCTGCTTTCTTTGTCTGCGTTTCTGCTTGAAACAGCACAAACGAAACCCAAAACCAACAAAGCAGAAAAAACTTGCCGCAGCAGCAATCATATGTTTCCCTTAAAGTGGTTAAAGTTTAGGTTATTCGCACAGAACACCTTCTATTTATGGCCTATTGTTGCGCAGAATTCCTGTGAGTGTTACAGTTTGTACAACCCATTAAGTCCACTCATACTTAATAAGGTTTCTTTTCAAAATAGCCCCTTCATGGTATATGTCCCATTTTATCCTGTGGGAATGAATCCAAATAACAGTAGCGAGTGCTATTTTTCTGCTAAATTTGCTTATGTAAGACAGATTCAAAGGTGAAAAAAGCAACGCTTACCTTTACAAACCCCAGTAACTGTCCCAATGTTGTGAGAGCTGGAAGACAACAGAAGCACACATTAGGCCATCATATAGCACACATTAGGCCATCATATAGCACACATTAGGGCATCGTATAGCACACACCTCACTTCCTGCGACGCGTGTTTACATGTTTTAAAGTCCTTGTTTATAGATGGGGCCCAAAAGAACGTAAATATACAGGTGTGCCGGTTCACCATCTGAACTGTTTATCCACGAGTTCTGCTTTTGGGCTTATCTGCTGCTTGGAGGAGAGTCGAAGGAACAAGTGGCCTTCTGGGTTTCTGTTTTCCTAATGTGTAATTAAATTATTGGATGCTATTCAAAGGTCAGATTTTCAGTGCCGCTTTGACATGGCTGGTCTATGTGTGATGTACTGAGGACCCCAATGATTAGAGCTTGGGGGGGCGGGGGGGTAATAATAAGGCTAACGTATGCTTCTGAGACACCGATAACACAGTAGTGCTTCAATTTGGTAAACTAGGGGGATGTGTGCAATGCAGAGATGCTTGTTTCTGTGGAGAAAAATCAGAAAAAGCACAGCTGGAAAACGCACATCTGCACGTGTGTGACCTGAACTGTACTGGAGGATTAGATTCTGATGAAAATGGACCCTGATAAACATATTGAGTATAAAAATAGTTGGTTCCACTGAGGTTTGTAGGGAACCAGAGCCTACTTGAAACATCAAGAATGATCTCCTGAAACGAGCATAGATCCGTCAGGTGGTACCGGGTATATTTTTAAACGACGGCCCTGTGAAATGCCAAGTGCCGTAAAGGTGTTTTAGATCCGAGCCGTTCATAATGACAGCAGAGACTTGGCGTCAGCTGCTCACGCTGAGAGAGGACCTTCCCAGTCACAGCCCATCTGCGATACGCGGCACAGAAGGCTCCGGAATCAGGAGGGGCGACAGGGAGAGAGATGCAAACTTCTGCGTTCAAAACCATCTTCCCTGTGGTCCGCCTAAATTGGTCTTTCGGGAGTAACAAAATCTAAATAATTGGACGTGAAAGGAGAAAAATGTCTTTGTCAATCTATCTGTGCTGAATAGGTGGTGGCAGAAAAGTGCATATTTTATTTTGTGTGACCGTAAGTAACATAGATATCAGCGCCGAGGGAAGATGACAGGTGGAATTAGCATAGAGATTCACAGTTTTGCTCGATTGATCTGGTGTTAGTGCTGTCTGGCCCAGTCACACATTTGTCCTGGATTTATGACCAGTGATCGGACACAAATAGAGCAGCCTGCAGAATGCCCAAGAGCCGTTTCCTTCCTGGATACTCAAATAGGATGGACTTGATTTGTTTCCTGTTAGCGACACAGTAGGACAGCGACGGTGATGAAAAGTGGGAGGTGCCAACGAAACGGAGCCATGCGGCGTCCAAGGGCCCAAACAGAAATAGCCACTGACCATTTTAAGACGGGATGAATGAAAACGACGTCGTAAGACTCTCACAATCACAGTGTATCCCCTTTCATAGCAGGAAGCCAGAACGGCAGTATATTTAGGGTGAATTAGGGGAAGGGATGTCTACTATGATCAACAGTTTAAACATAAGCAAAATATTAAGTTAGACATTTACTGCTGCAGAGGGTAGAAACAGACATGATTTCATCCATTTGCAATACAGCCCCAGCCGAGACGTTACTTACAGCCTTGGATTATGTCGAATCTACTTTTAAACACATTAACACGGCCAAAGTATACTAACGTGGAGAGCGTGCGGAATTTAAACGAGTAAAAGTACCGTCTACAAACCTGGCGGCGACGGAACCTGCCAAACACCGTGTCGCATGTCAACGTAACGGCACAGGTTCCTACCGCCATGAGGTGCTGCTCGCTGTTTTTCCCGTTTAAACCATCCCTTCCATATTCCAGTTAATAAACTGGTTAAGGTTTTTAAGAATGACGTGCATACAGCAATACAATCTTAAATCGGGCATTTGGATTTGGATGT